CCGACAAAGTGGCCTTGGTCTTCAGCAAGCTTCAACAGCTCGAACACAACTGCAATAAACTGTTCCGAGACGTATCCAATCAATTGGTGGCCATGGTCGAGATTGCAAAGGTGAAAGAGCGAGGCGGCAATACTGCGGCCGTCAGCTCTTGTGCACAAACCCGTCCTGGAAATGTTGTTCTCGGCGAGGAAGGCCAGGATTACTGATCTAGTGTGCACACAGAAAGGGATGGGCTTCTGTGATTCGGTATTGTCGATGGCGAAGATGGAGATAGGAAGGCGGCAAACGGTCTAGTTGAGTGAGGTGAGCTTGGGTTAGGCTATGAGCCAACGATGATGTGATACTGACCTCCGCAGAGTTTGAAAGACACATGCTCTCGACGAACTCTCGACTGGAGAGTCAGGACTGACCATGTGATGGATGGCCAGAAAGGCTGACTTCGGTTTACCGCGGTCAACACGCGCATACTTATGTGTGCAGAGATGCAAACGCTGAAAAGCGAGAGCGGGGCGGAGAAATGTGATGGCTATGGCGTGTCTCACTCAGCGAAAGAGAGACAACAAACGGCAGGGAAGACAATGGAGAAAGACGCGCACAGATATTTTTTGCAAGTCGCAAGCAATTGTATTCATGGACCAGGAAAAGCATACGGGAAGCAAACGTCGGATGAGTGGTTCCATGCTTGATATCATTCTCCCCGGGTCACGAGAATCAGTCCCCGGTTTGAGACTGGTGCATTCCAAACCGAATCACGAAAGTCTTCTACTCACGAGATGTAGTAGGCTTCTGGATGAACGGGAGAATACATCGCCCGCTACTCCGAAGGGTAGATGGAAAAGCGTCCATGGGATTGACTTGGGTACGAACTCTGCGCAACCTGCATGTGAACAAGAGCTTCCGTGCTGTTGCATTGGAGATGACAGCTGAAGGATGTTTCAAGAAGAGCCATAGAGAAGTCTTCTTGGCACGATTTGACTCGTAAATCAACAATAGATAACTGGATGCATGTGGCATTACATTCACAACACCCGCCGCCGAGACGGACCTCCGCTCATTACGCGCAAACTTGTACCACTGACTGTGAGCCACAAAAGACACTGTTCAAGCACTGTGTGCGTCCGAGGCAGGATTGCCGCCATCGAAGATGATATCCCAGTGCTCGATTTCTTTTGGTCGTCAAAAGCTTGCGGGTGTCTCGCGTCATACATTCTCCGCGTTCCCTGCTCCCATAGTGCAGTTCAAGACGTGAGTCAGTAGAGAGAAATAAAACATTACATGCTGCGAGACGATGTTGCCACAATTGCAAATTTAATAGACTTGCCGAGGCACTCAGGGACGCGTCGAAGCGTTGCCATGTCCATGTAACCTTCTAAATTGGGTTGTCACTATGCGTGAAGATGGAGCTCCACTTCAACAGCAGTTAAGATAGGATCTTGACCGGATCGATCGGCTGAAGTTCGACAGCCTGTGCAGGAGGCGACTTGACCATCCTTCTCATCACATGCATTATGTGGTATTCATTTACCATCAGGACGAGCCAGATTGGACATCTGAGAGGTTCCTTCCCAAGCGCCACTTGGATGGTTTCCTCGATACTCAACAGTATATCTACGGTCTAGATTTCTGAGACTTTGAGGAGACTGTTTCAAGAAGATTATCTCCATTGTTGCTGTCGCCTGTAGCGTCGACGTCCCTATTGGTAGAAGTGAAGAAATGTTCGGCGCTGTGTAGCGTATTCATCATGCAGCGATGCGGAGAATAGTGAAACTGGGGTGTCAGACAATTTTAACGCGAAACAACGCGATAGCAGTTCTCTCGTAATGCGTTTCACTCGTATGAAGCGGTGTTTCTTCATGTTGGAAGCCATGGCCCGGGATTGCGGCAAAGTCGACTTGATGATGAAGCAGGATGCTGGTCATCCTCCGAGCCCACCCCTTCCCGGATTGGATGCCAGCTTGATGACTTTGACGATGCTTTTGTGAACGGTCCAGATCTTGGATAAACCAGGTACCAGATTACTGGTTTTCGTGGCTGATTTCTGAAAGAGAATAACTGAGATACTTTTTAGTGTTGAGGTGTCATCTTGGAGTAGGCGAGCGTAGACATCCATGATGGTTTCAGACCTTCACAAAATCTCGGCAAATACATGAAGCAGAACTCGTCGTAAATGCGCTAGCTTCTGTCTCAACTATGACCGATCAGTCGTACTTTTCACGTCTATAAGTGGTATACAAATTAAAACTTCAGCTGAGGTGGCTGGTTAGTTTCACATGGTGTAAGTAACGCGAATAACGTGGCTCCAATGTTTGGAGACGAGCTGAGCTAAGACTACAATCACGAGTTCCGGGCTACCTTCAATGCTGCTAAGGGGCTATTATAAGGTATTACTGATAAAATGAAGGCCAGAATCTTGAAAACCTTTGCTATAGGTTTCGTTGAGATGCAATTCAACACGCCGATCTCAGAAAGATGGGTGTCAACCGTCGTATCCTGCAATAGGATGCCGTTCTTTTCTTCGAAAAAGTTGGTAGTGACCTGAGTAGAATGAGTTACCGGCATACTTGGTATAAGATTTAAACTTGGTTGAATAAGGATCTTCAGATCAAATTGAAAGGCTTGGATTTCTTCCCCGCGTCTTTGGTGTTCTCAACAAAACTTAAGAGTAAATTAATGCTGTTCTCGTATGGACGGAGTGAGCATAAATCAGACTTCACAGAAGCACGTTAAAAGGGAACGTGATTGGTAAGAATGACGTAAGTCCCATGACAAGCCTTGGAATGTGGGAGAGATGGGATGCCTGGATTCTATGACGTTGGACTACGCAAAGCCTTCTTCTCAAAGAATCCGCTAGGTATCTCGACCTAGGTAATCAGGTTTGGCAAGAAAAACAAAGATTATGTTTAGGAAGTTGGCAGTCTTGAGAATCAACTAATAGCAGAAAATCATAGTTTGACAGGAGGCTTATGAAAGGCATTATGCCTAAGAGAATAGAATAGGCCCCTGCATTGAGGATAAGCCTCTCTAATAGATAATAAGAGTGAAGCTTTGAGCGAAGCATACTGTTATCCCATCTTGACCTACTACTCGCAGTGGATAATTGTAAGGGACAGGACTTACTGCTTTCTTAGAGTTAGAGTCTAACAGGCTCCATCTTAGTGTAGTAGCTTACTGCTTCTAGTGATAGATGAGGACGCTATATCGAACAGCATTAAAGATGAAAAGAACCAGCGAATTATTGCATGCCAAAATCAAGAGGACAATCTGGTATTTGCATTGGCTTCAGCACCCGCTTCCCAAAGATATAGCTGTCCTGCGTGCCCCATCCTTGGTTTTCCCTTGGACACAATGCCCTCCTCTTTCCATTCGACCATTCTGAAACACACAATCAACTTTAATGCGGCTCATCGGCAGACTACTTTCCAGACTCTCAACATCTTAAAGCACGAATTTATCGACGAGATTTCCTACAACACCCACATCCTTTGCCACATCTTAGACGGCTGCCATAGCCTCGATCATGTCCGGCCCCCGGCTTGGCGCACTGCTGTTTCTCCGATCGTCTCACTGAAGAGGCTGGACGCTTACAGGAGGTTGTCAGCACGGAGCCAAGCCGGTGCACGCCAATGCTCAGGACTTCAGGATCTATTAGCTTGTATACATCGCAATAGCATTCACTCAGAGACCAAGCACATACATTTCAACCACGAACGAGACATAGTGAAGCCGGTGACCAACCATGCCCATACTTTACATCATCCCCCGCTAATCTAACGATAACATCTCAAATCTCAACAGAAACAGCTAGAGAAAGCACTATCAATTGCCCATGCGATTCACCGGCTCCAAAGCTGTGGAGACCTTTCGCATACTATCTGCACGTTAGAGATTGTTCAGACCTCAACCAGGCAAGCCGCTTACCTCTAAAGCTGTATCTTATTGATAGGTTTCACGTCTATTAGGTCCCTAACACACAAACTAACTCGTGAAGCTCCCAGCATCCTCGAAACCCCTCATGAGCCTATCTTCAACCGTGTTTGACTTGCAGTTGAAGTTTGTGTTTTCGAACGCGCATGACTGGAAGCACCATGGCTTTCGAGTCAAATCAATTGTTTTCAGTCAATATCCTGAGCGTTGCACCATGAGCTCTATCCGTTAGGTTTCCTAACTTTCCAAGCGATCATGAACATCTGTTGATCCGATCTAACTGCGATAGATGGTCCAGACTTCCTAGATTCCCTAACCACTAAGCTTCACCCTCGATCCGGCCAGGAATGTTCGGGTGTAGGCTTGCGGATACGGTATGAATTTCTGTGCTTGGCTGATTGCGCTCGCTGAAGGTCATCCTGAAAGGTTGAAAACGGAGGTGCAGGGAAGAGGATTGGTAGCAGCGGATGGACTATTGGATCCTCGACTGTTTTCTCTGGTAGCTCATCATAACGATCAATCACTTCTTCCAAAAAGACGCGCCTTGTGCCATTTGTGCATGAGATACATGGCCAACATGGGCTGCGATGCGATGCAGTACGCTTCAGGAACCTTTTCGCAGATGGTGTTCAGGTCATGGTCATCAGCTATCGGGATGCTTCATCCTCCTATTGGCGCTTTGCCGATATCCTCATTACTCGGAGCGAGTCTTGGCTGATTTAGTTCGCGCAAACAGTTACCCTGATCGACTTCATGCAAGCAAACACGAATGCTAAGCTCACGCCGCTCAAAATGGACGGCTCTCTGATCTCGTAAGAGACTCATTGCTGTGGGTGGAGACGACATGATTGTGTGACTGAATTTATGACTGCATGTCTCAAGATGAACGCAGAGCATCCTCTAACTTGCTGCGTTGCCCCAATACCAATCAACACCACCGCCTGGAGAACAAAGCAGCATGCCGAACCCGAAGCAGGAAAGATTTCCGTCCAGCTGCTCGTCATTGCGAGCATCATCACCTGTGACAGAAAAGCGACCCCCTGGATGATCCGCAAACACATAAGTCCCAATGTCAATCAAGCACCCGGCGGCTTGTAGTCACTATCCTCGTCTTCCTCGACAATACGGCGCTTGCGCTTCTTGGTGGTGGCGGCGGCACCGGCCTTTCGGTTCTCCAACTTGGCGAGCTCGACACGGTACTTGAAACGCACGCGGGAGAGCCAGGCGCGCTGCGTCATGCCCGTTCTGGCCGTGACCTTGTCCCAGTATGTGCGGACGACACCGGGGTCGATGCGCTTCGCTAACTTCCACGTCTCGCTGTTGCCATCGCGGGGGTCGGTATCGCGGACTTTGTACATGATCAGCAGGCCGTGGTCGGGGTGAACGCCGGCGCGGCCGTTCATGATCTCGGGGGGAACTGCACTGGCGAGGACTGCGTCGGCGGAGACTTCGGTGTTGGGTCTGTCGCTCGCCGGGTTCTAGACGGCGTTGACGGGCTTGGCCGTTGGCTTGGTGGCCAGCAGAGAGGGCCGGCTGGTGGCGGAGGTGCCGAAAGCGCTCGCGAGGGTGGTTTGTCGGAACTTCGACTTCGGCTTGGAGGCTATGTGGCGGTTGCCTGTGTCAGCGTTGAACGGCACATGGAAAGCAGGGCAAAAGCCAGGTGCAGAAGAAACGAAGTTCATCTTTTGCTTACCGGTGGGATTGATGACGGAAGACATCTTGGGTGGGGAGAAAGAGACGATCTGGCAGGAGGTGGGTTTGGGCGAGGGCCTGCCGTTTGCCGTCTCTGCAAGGGTGACGGCGAGATGCAACCTTGATATTCAGTCTGGAGAGAAGTGGTGTGAGAGGTGAGTGTGAGGAGCACGAAAAAAAAGCACAAAGGTCGGTCGGTGGGGCCTTTCTCGACGCGTTGACGCGGACTGTCTGAAGCGGAAGGTGGCGGGGTTACTGGCTGCATGCCATATCTGCCTGCCTACCATGCCTGCCTACTATACCTATAGGTAGGGACCCGACCTTTTCCTCTGGATGCCATGAAGCATGTACATTTCACTTTGTAGATAGGAGGGGTTATCTATGAAAGCCCGTGAAGGGAAGAAAGAAAGGGAAGAATTGTCACTCTTGATTTTAGTAGTGACAAACACAGCCCAGCCACTCTGCATGAACGGCCACTGCCACTGGGGAACAAACGCGCGGGCTTCCGACTCGAGCAAACTTCACGATTTCTCGGACGCCACGACACATCATCACTATTTTGACCTTCTGCGAAAGTTGATCCTGGCCTGTTTTGTGGTGCCTCGCCCGTTCACCCCACCAGGCTTCGACCGCCGGAGGGCTTCAGCATGTCGTACCTTTGGCCCAATTCTTCACATCTCGAGGTGGGTCACTTTCCCTCGTCGGCCACAGCTTCAAATATCGAATATATCTTGCGCAGATGCATTTTGGCCCAGCCCACGTCATGGCACTATTTTCCGTCGCGCAACAATCGGACTACACGGCGAAGATTGGCTTGCGCTTTTAGATCAACCTGCATTTGCCCCAAACATCCAGCATCTGCATTTGAGGCAGTACCTAGCTAACAACGCCCTTTTTACCATCACGCATCTTTGCAATGACCCAGTTCGATGGGGTTTGATGCCATGGTGCTGACACTTCCTCCATCCTCAGAGCGCAGTAGTGAGGCGAAGACCACCGCCGCTCGGCCGACGCCGTCACGGTACCAATAAGTGGGTCATTGTGCACCCATTTGTGTTCATTGATCCACACAATCTCACTCATGTAATGCTGGAAGCGGCGCACCGCGGTAGCTGTACCCGACAGCCAAGAAAGGGCAAACTGCCAACCTTGCGATGAGCACCAGCACCCCCCAAAACTTCGTCATCAGCCAACCTTAACGAAGACTACCAACACACAGCAACATCGACCAGGAAAATTCCATCGAGGAAATCCGGGAGCGTTCCGGTCCAGACTTCCAAGCTTCCGCCGAGTTGGAGCCTCGATGTACGCAGCGTCAATCGTTGCCGACGACAGGGGTCGCCGAGGATATCTAGGAATTACTTGGCCTGGGGTTTACTTAGCCGGAAACAGGCAATCACCCTTGCTTTACATCGAAGTAGAAGGGAAACGTGAAGCACAAGAAGCATGCATACCGCAACCTAGCCCCTACAGCTGTTGTGTTTTTTAGTGTACTTTCGCATTCGCTAGCATGTGTTAGCGACCACTACGATATACGCCATTGAACCTGCACGTTGTCTTGTGGAGGCGGATCATAATCATTGGTTTTAGGATTTGCGACAAAGGTGTTTGAGGACTTCATGGCTACTGAGAGGGAATTTTTGATTAGGATGAACCAAGTGGTGGCCGACCGACGCAAAGGGGATCGAGGCAGAGGTGGTCGGTCCACCGCATTCTCGCGCGAGTCATGTACTTCACATCCAAGGCAACCACGCCCTGCCTTATTCAGTCCCGCCCACACGCTATGATTTGCCAGTAAGTGCTATCTGATCCACGTTCTTCTGCTCCGTTTTACTCTATTTTGACGTCGTCCGCGCTACATCCCAGATGCCCGCGTTCCTGCTCAATGTTCCTGCAGCTGCCTTCGTCGTCATCATCTTGAGTTTGCGTACTCTGCTGCAAAGCTGGCAGTGTCACTCAAATCTCAAGCTGAGTTACGTACATGCTGTGGGAAAGCAGCGCTGGCATCGCGGTGACTGAGGCTCATTCGAAGTAACAGTGTTCGGGTGTGCCCTTCAAGAATACTGTTGATCTCGCCCACAAGCACATACGACCATACCCACTGGAAAATTCGGGATCTCGTCCGCTCTCTCATAGATAAGCCAATGAGGGCTGGATTACTAGTTGGGTCGGTGACGACCAGCGAATACCCAGTGTTGTATGTTTTTTTACTTTTGTTTTTGAGCAGCTCGTCTTAACTCATCATCAACTGACCACAAGGGGCAGAACATGTCACTCCGAACGCCGAACCGCTCTCACTCGCGCATTACCGCTAAATGTCCACATGACACTGCCGCGTCCTTAAACCTGCCCACTCCAACAAGCAACAGAGCACGTGATCAGCAAGTCCCACAAGGCCGTTCGCCAGCGTTGCCATCATATTACTTCCATAACGTCTTGCATCGGTTTCCCGTCAACGCAGCACTCACACGGCCCTGAGATTGTTGGCGCAGACAGTTAGTCTACTTTGACCGGCTTGGAGGTTGAAGCCAGGCACCAGAAGGTAAAACGCCACGGTCACGATTCCGACGCTGTTGACGACAGACCGCGGGCTTGTCCCGACACAATGGCAGTTGTCGCTGCTGCCGCCGTGGAATCGCTGCTCTTCCCTCGGTTCCTTTCAGCCCACTTCTTACCGCCAATTTCTCCCGACTTCGACCACAAATCCGACGGTACCGCTGCCAAACACCACACTTTTGGTTCAGTCATCTCTCGTCTGGCGAAAAGGGATGCAAAGCCACAGCCTTAAACGGCAAGTAGCTGATATACGTACATCACAAGGCTCATGGTTCACGCAATGGCTCAATATGTCCCACTGACTTCCTCCATGGAAGCCACCTGACGTGACGCCAGTCTGCCACGACCTCGGGATGATGGTATCTCTGTATCCGCCTTCCGCCACTCCAGTCAACCTCGTCTACAACGGAGCACTCTTTTTTTTGCATGCTCGGCGAATCTATGGCACCTCCTGATCCCTCAGGCCACATACTACTACCACCTGTCGGCCGTTGGCATCCTTGCTGGCACCTCGGATTACGCGTCTCTGAAGATGCCCTATCTAGCGTTTCCGCAGACCACGCTTAATCTCATCTCGCCAGGTATGATCTGGGTTGCTGTGAGTGTTCTTCGAATCTCAACAGCATAAATCCAAGACGTAGACGCTCAGGAATCCGAGCAGCTGGTACCACAGATGTCCTCTACATTTTGCTGCCAACTCTTTTGTCGGCGCGTTCGTCAGCATCTTCGTCCCTGTCCGCCCGGGTAGTAAAAAAGGCGAGGCTTCCAACTCATTGCGACCTCATGTCTCTGACTATAATTGTTAGCCTCCCCCGCCCTCTCGTCACCAGCATCAACTATGCTCTCATCACTAGTGATGACGAGATCAATGACCTCAACATCGCCACGGCCGACACCTCTGTCTCTCTCCTTCACTGTATCCCCTGAGCCTTTCCAGGATCCAATACACGTACGGGATATATAGCTTCGAGTCACCTAGACCGAGACATTGGCGATGTCTACGACAGCCTTGCAAATAGCCTATTCCGAGCGATCTCGCTGAATCCGGCTCTCCCTGGTGTAGATGAAAGGGAATCCAACCTCGAGTGGGCTCTCAGCCGCACGAAGAGTGCGAGCTTATTGTCTCGTGCCCCCAAGGTCATTGGCACTGTCCGCCGCCATTTTACGGATGAAATTCACGTGGAAGAGCTCAAAAGAGACCAATTTCTCGTCATTAAGATGACGTTTTTCACAAACAGCGATGCCAATCAAAACCACGCCAGATAGAAGCTGGACCTTACGAATAACTCTATCGAAATTTCCTCGACGAAACGAGCCGGGTATGATACCTAGGTGATCAATCACTTTGCGTTCTCCCTCGTTCTACCAGTGGACGTTTCGAAACTCCCCCGTATGCTCGAAATGCCCCAACCAGGCGATTACCGGACCATTCTCATTGAGCGACCCGTTACTAACGTTAAATGTGACTGAGGTCTCTCGGAGAACAACAGAAGCGCAGAACCAGCGCTTATCCCACGCCCTTTGCCACCTAGCGACAGTGAAGTAGTGCACGTGGACACCTTTGGGCAAGGAAACAGGCCTGTCTGGTCAAAGCAAGGCGACCCCCATCAGAATTTGTATCAACTTGCTCGTGTACGGATTATATCCTCTGTTGGCCAAGGATATTTTCACAAGCCCCGAGCGCTACCCATCTCGATGAGCGCAACGCTGCGGACGGGTCCTCGTCTCGTACTGCCAATGGTAGGAAGACCTCGATCGTCTCTTGACTCGTAATATTCGTTTGATTCCTGCATTGCAGGTCTTCTGACTCCGATTTCAGAAGCAACTTTACTCACAAATCGCCCATAGACTCGGTCCTTTCACTTTACGCGCCTCGAGTGCCCATGAATCCAAATTGCGATGTGACGAACTCGATTTGACCCTTGTATGAATGTGGCAGCTAGTAGCAGCTGCGCTTGGAATCCAGCCAAAAGTCGACTCGAACATCGGCTTCCATGTTTATACACCAGTGGTGGATGCAACACGGTAATTAATTCCTAGATACATGGATGTCCAGTTGAAGTCGGAGCACGTGGGTGACTAGCAGCACGGTCCCGACCCGGATTATGACATTCCCAAAGCAGCTGAGACAAAACCATTCCAGAATTTCCAATCTCATGCCAAAAGCCGTTGCCAAAGGCCGCTCTTCCAAAGGCCGTAGCATCGTTTAAAGCCAGTCGCTCTCTGGATGACCTGGGCTACTCCTGAAATGGCCATCAGCTCCCAGCACGGTCAGGTGCAGGTCGCTATATTCCTACAGTCGGTCTTACCATGCTGAAATAAAGGCTTTGCGTTGAGACCCTTGAAGCGCCTTAGTTGCCTGCTTGAGAAAATGCTTTGTCATGGGGTCAATGGCTGAAAAGAATTTGGGGTGGATTTTGCGAGGTAATCAATCAGTAGCCCTCAAGTCGTCCCAGTGCCAAGGGTTACC